AGTTCACAAGAAGGGAGTTGAATGATGTTGGGCATCATTCAACCTGAAACACAAATGGCTTCCTACATCACGTACTCTGTCCTGTAGTGACATAGGAGTCAGTGGAAAGAACCACTGAATACAGTAGGGGAGATTTCAAGAGACAATTTTGCACAAGCAATCATTGCAAATACTGATTGTCTGTATTTGCAAAGATTGCTGCAGGTTAGGGGAGATCAACAGCACTAAATGCCAGCTCCATTCTGGGCAGTGTAGCATGTTTGCACTAACACAAAATAGTGCCAATACCTGGCCCATGTGGAGTAGCAGCAGTAAAGTAATAACATTTTTTCGCTATTATGCATGCTCAGTAGCATCAACAATTAAATATGATAATTTAAATTTAGTGTCATCTCTTCTGCAGTAGGTGAGTCTGTGTTGCAATAGGATATGGCGTTTTCATTGTTGGCCTTGTCAGCTCAAACCACCTCTTTACCAAGGGCTTACACTGGCCCAGTAATCTCTGACCTGGCAACTCACACGACCAACCCCAGCCTGAACTGCTGGCCAGGAGGACTGCTGCCACCATCTGGAGCTACATCTGACAGCTTTTCAGTGGAGGCACCCCCACAACTACAACCACTCCAGCCACTCCTCCTTCTGTCACCACTACCACTCTTCTCACCACCACTGTGCCTTCATGCCACCCCGGTGTGCTCTCACCACTTCACCTGACTCTCATCCTCACACCACCTCCCCCCCTGCCTCCTGACTGACACTCATCAATGGTACTAGTTGTACTGACACAGACATATGCACTGCATTGACAAACGCGCATTAATGTTAACATGAATTGCGTTAAGGCACTTTATTCATTTGAACGACAATGCAGTGAAATTTCAAACTACACAATTATTTCCCACAAAGTGCACAACAACGCACAAACGTGTATGCCATGCATTGTAGTGTCCTGTAACACAGGTATGTTGGCCCCCCAATGCATGGCATAGCCATTTAAGATATTCTGAGGCTGGGGATGGAGGGGTTGAGGGTTAACACCTACTGCCAAAGCTGCAGTGGGCAGTAATGGCTTTCACTCTGGATTATTAAAGTATAAATGTGGTACTAAGATCGGGGGCCTCCTTGGGTGCACACTAATAAAATAAATTAATTGTAAAGGTAATTGTGGTGCCTGCAATAGCAGTATGATTGGTCTGTACACAATGTTTTAATTGACGAGCTGACTTTAAATTTATGGAAACCTTTTATAAATTAAAGAGATGACAGTTGTCTTTATGGCTTTAATACAAGTTTATTCTAATTTTCTCCATACATAATCGGTGCCCCATAACTGCACCTTTCTTGCAAACCTAAGTCTTGTACTACAGACACGGATGAATTAACTAAAATAAATCTAAAAGACAGATACTACTCTACAACATAAAAGGAATTGTGTGTAATGAATGTTTCACTGACAAGCAAACAAGTAAAGCCATTAAATGTCCCTAAACAGTCCAATTTCTGACTGATTCAAAAGGCATTATGTAAATTATTCACGGCACATACATAGATTTTCAATTATCAAATGACTTGGCTCCAGGACAGATTTGCACACCAGGCTTTAGGACGAATGCTGTCTCTGAATATCCTACAATTATGAGCTACTGATGAATTAGGAATGAAATTTTAAATGAAATATTCAGTTGCTTTGCAAGTACTGAATTACTAGCTTCAAACAGCACTTAGAATTTTGCTACTTGGACTGTTGTCCACTGTGTATTGAAACATGATGTTATATATATATATATGGGTTACAGCAAACCTTTATTAAAAAAAAAACAAAAAAAAAACTGACTTCTCAATATTTTATATAGACATTGTTGGGTTTGGAGGAATGCAAAGACTGATCCATTTAAGCTTTTAATGGTTGCTATAGGCAGATGCAGACAATTCCCCAAATTCTCTGAAAGTACACCTATAATGAACTTCTACATCTCCACAGATAAATATCTAAATCAGATAAAAGCTTCCATATGCAGTATAGCTGTGGATAAGTCAATCTCCTTAAGACTCTCTATTTCTATTATCTTTCTATTTCGGACATATATCATAAATAAGCAATATACTATACAGCACCAATAACATACTATATATACAGTAGTTATGGTGCATGAGCTACCCATAAAAATTGCAGAATTAAACTCCTGGAATTAAAAACCCCCCCAAAAACTACAATTTAAAAATAATTTGTTAATCCACCTGGTGACAAACTGCATGTAGCACTAGGTCCTGTTGAGATATGTGCTGTTGTTAGCAAATAAAACTATATTTTTTTCCTGTTAGTAGTGCTGGCTGTAGCTCCCCTCCAGGCTGAAGCCCAAATAATGGACATTCCTATGGGAGAGTTACAGCCAGCACTGAGCCCCCACCCTTTACCCTCTGTGTCCAGAACTAGGTTGGTGTCTGCTCCCTCTGCATGTGTGCAACGTCACCTCCATGCCAGCTCCTCTGCTCCGTTCTGTTTCCCGGCAAGTGGCCCCCACCATTCTCTCTTGCCTGCTCTCCCTCTCCCCCACTCCCTTTCCTGGTCGGTGGCCCCACCCCCAGCTCTAACGTCACTCCTAATCAATGAGCAGCGCATTGTGAGGAACTACAAGTCCCAAGACTGCTCACTAATTTTTTTTTCTTGCAGGGACACTGTTTATAAGGTGCATACACAGGAGCCCTTGCAATGACAGGCTCCACTGTCATGGTGAGTGACAGTGCTCTTCTCCAGAGCACCCCTGCTGCCAGAGATGAGCGCTGTCACTCACACTATCTGTCTCTGTGCTAGCAGTGTTGTCGGACATTAGTGGAGGGGAGGGGGGCCATGCTGCCTGACCTTGTTCCTCAGCAATGACAGCTCAGATTGGAATAGGACCAAGTGTCCCATGCATCTGTAGTGATCATTCTTTCAATGTCAGTAAGGAACAGTGTTAAGTATCATAAAAAATAAGAGTGAGATTGTAGGTTTTATTTATTCAGCTGATGATCACAAGATGTAGATTTCTGCATCCTCCCAGCACACTACACTGCTACGCTTCAATCATTTTCATTCCACAGGAAGACCCCCAGTGAGGAAGACAGAAATCTTTTTACAGGTTTGGGCCACACACCAATCTCCAGGTCAGGTAAGCAAACACTTCTCCAAAACACAAGAATGTCTTCAATACTTCACAAATACAATATAAAATCATGTATAAAAATCATGTTCCATGGCCAACAGGAAAACCATTTGACTCAGACACTGGGGGTGATTTACTAACCTAAACACACGCACGCACCAGGTGCGTGTGATTTTCACGCAGCAAAACGTATTTATCAACCAAAAAGTCTCTAAAAGCATATTTCCACTAATGCCATATATGAAAAAATCATGCACATGATGCATATATAATGCTGCTTCACAGTTTAGACAAAAATGGTTAGCTCATGCATTTACATTCCTGCATTCATCAATGCAAGCAACACAACATAGAGCTAATTTACACAACGTCACCTTGCAATTCATGCAAGGCTTTGCACAACACACCTGCTGGGTGTGTACACACTACAAAGGTGTTTAGATTCCACCCATAGATCATGCTGTGAGGGAACACACTACAGAGGTGTATACAGTTCGTGGTGTGTTTATAAGGTTAGTAAATCAACCCCACTGTCTCATTGCAGAATTTTGTATTTGCAGCCCTGTTAGGTCACAGGTATACTCCCATGCCTAAACTACATAATCTGTGTAATCTGGCAGGTGTTGCATTGCAGAAGAACAGTGCACTTAGCCCAAAAATGAAAATGCTGGGACAGAGCAGACACCAGTGAGACTATTTGTGGTTGCTAAGATATTCAATTGAATCATCTCCATAAAGATCAGAACTTCAACTACGGATGGTAATTTCTATTAAAATAAATAATTACTGTATGGCAGTGTTGCTCCATTCTGCCCCCAAACGCCTACAAAACTATAGAAACTAAAACTTGCATAAGGCTAGGCATGTCCCCAGGGATGCAAGGAAAAGCGTAGATGTGTGCCCCATACTCGGAAAAAGGATCTCTCACTTGGACTGCAGTGGCAGATCATGCCCAACAAACTGGAGCAGATACCTCGTGGTGCCCACTGTGGTATGGTGGTGCTATGTGACTGCAGCTCTCCCATTCTTTGGTAATGTTAAAAACAAATGTAAATACAGGGTTAATGAAATCATAAAAGCTGTGGATTAGTAGTCCACCCAGGAATTTGTCTTAACAGTAAAATACATTTCATGGAGTGACAGAACACAGAACTCTCCCCTCTGTTTTCTGTGATACACTCTGTACTGCTTGCTACAAAGGTGAGGCAGGCTGGGAGTAGGAGGGACTATGCAGGGCTCCTCCTGCAGCTTTGATTGATTTGCCAGTGTCCAATCACCTGATGGTAGCTGTATAACCCACTGGTATAAGGGTTAACTCCCTGTGTCCAGTGATGTACAATCATAAAGAGTATTCTCTGGATAAGAACAAATATCCTCGGAAATAAAGTGTCTAGTGGAAGACTTGATTAACCAGTTTTCAATTACTCTTTCATATTTTCCACCAATTTTGTGAATTGATCACCAAATTTGACTTTGGGCTCTACCAATTCACTACATTATGTAAAGATCACAAACATGTGGTATTCTTGTAGTCAAAAAACTTTGTCAGTTTTGTAGTGTAAATCTGGGACTACATCAACCATGTAAAACTAGTTTTGGGAAATATTAATGATAAACTTTTGTTTTAAAAAATGTCCCTTTTTTATAAATACAACATACATTGTGACATATATTCATTCAACAGTGTTACTAAATGAAAGACCTTTATGTCCAAAAAAATATGTATAATACACTAGAATAGACAAAAAATGCAAAATGTTCTTTGGTGTAAAACTTAACACATCTCAGAAAAAATGGAAGAGTGGTGGTGCTATGCACTGGGAACCAAATTTCAACGAATGAGATCTGTTTACTTACCGTCAGCTGCTGTATAAGAAGCTCTATAAGGAAGGTGACCTTACTGCTCATGAGGACATAGGTGCAATTCTCCGGACAATTACTGCATGTTAATGTATAGAGATTCACAGCATTGCACAGTGACCTACAGACATAAGAAATATTAATTACATATAGGTATCATGGTAGCTCTGCTGCATAAGGATATAAACAAAATACAAATGCTCTCTTTGGAAGACCGATCAGTGGTAAAATGTATGCATAAACCTATGAACATTGGCAGCTGGTAAGTTAGATGTTGAGCATCTGTAAAGAAATTACTGGAAATCTATTACAAATACATGACAGTGACAGGTAAAAAGGAGTACATCTCTTCAACCGTTGTACCAACTCCATGATTTTATTCCGACTCCCAAGTTCTAAAATACAAGCCACTGCTGCATAGATGTGTTTTATTCATATCCTTTTTTATGTTGTTCAAAAAATAAATATCTTCTGTTCTTTGAGTTGTAGTATGAAGATGTTAATAAAACTTGAAATTTGAAAAAAGGTTTGTATTACACATCATCAGGCAGGAGTTAAGACTTTAAACGATACTTGAATAATTTCAAACATTTTTGTTTTTTTACTTCCCTGTGTTATAGGGAAAAAATAATACAAAGAAAAATAAAGCTAGAAATGTTTCCTGAAGTGAGCAGGGCACTGAAAGAAACTTTGATACAAGCCTAATTTAACCCTTATCTTCTTTTGTAGACTGCCTTTTATCAGCTCATAGAATTCTTCTGCCAATATCTGTGAGGTAACAAGTCACATAAGCATAAACTAGTCGCGGGGATAATTGATCAGTCCCCATTTACACCTGCGAATAGGGCTGATTACATGATCTCACAAGTTCCTCTGTAAAGGTGGCCATACACTTTACAACCCTCGCAAAAGACTTTTGACTTGCGAGGGTTGGACAGGCAGATCGTACTTGCGACCATCGCAAGCCCGCCCCCCTGCAGTGAGGGGCGGGCTTTCGATGACTGCAAACGGGCAGTGTGCGCGTTTCGGCAGTTGTCGAACAAGCAGGCCACTAACTCGCCGAGAATCGTACGATTCCCGGCGGGTTTTCCAGCCTGTTTGTTCGACGGAAGACGTGCGACCGTACAGTAGAAACGGTCGCACGCCTTCCATACACTTTGCGATTATCGCACGATCGCGGGATTTCCCACGATTCTCGTACGATAATCGTGCAGTGTATGGGCACCTTAGGAGTCATGTGACCTCATGCAGGTGGCAGGCGCTGTATAATCCAATAACAGCTACCACCACCCGCAACTGTTCACCAGAAATTGCACCTGGCAGCTGTCATTGGATTAGACAGCATCTCTTATCTGCAGCTGATAGTACAGGAATTTTTGAGACTCATACGAATGGCCATATTTTTTTACATAGTGCAGACATATTTGCTCATTACATTTGCAGGCTTCACTTAAAGTGAATTCGAATTTAAAATTTGAAGACTTTCTATCTGATAGGGGATACCAAGAAATGCTCATGATAAATGTACCTTTTGTCTTAAACTTCCTTGAGAAAACCAGAAGTGCACTTCCTGGTATGTGAGTGTGCTCACACACTGTTGTGCCAACAGCCTTATTTATACCTGTATGTCTGCAGTGTGTGATCTAAGGCACTGTTGATTCTGACTGCTAGCCTCAGGAGATCTGGAGTGAGATGTTTTTAAGGCCTTTTAAGTGACACAAATCTATGATAAAGTAAGTGTAAGATCATCTGACATGTGAACTGACACACTAATGAATCCTAATAAAGCATTTCTTGCACACTGTGGTAGTTTAAAGGGCACTTGTGGATTCAGTGCTGTTATTGCACAAATATATGTCCTGCACTGCAGTCATTGCACAATGTGGATTCTGTGAAAGACACTTTTGCATTGATTTGGCACTTTTTTATGAGGCACTTTGTATAAAATTCATATTCCTGTATGAATGTATGTTATTACTGTGTTACTTATGTGTTTAATATTTATTTACGTAAAATTGTATGTTATGTTATAGTATATACTATGTTATGTATGTGTTTATGTAATAATCATTATTTTTTATGTATTAATGCAAGTTATTTTGTTATATGATATTAATGTATGATATACTAATTGTTTTAGATAAGTATCCTCAGGTCAGTGTGCCAGTGTATATTTATAACACTATCAATGTAAATGTAATCTTTCCAAAATGCTTGAAGACAAAAGACTAAGAAAGCTCTTCATTAAAAAAAAAAAAAGAATAGAAAAACATAAAAATATAACTGTGGAGCAACTGTGGAGACACAACTACAGAGGTAAACTCACAACAAAAACAAAGAAAGAAAAGAGTAAATATTTTAAAGCTGTTTTCTATGATCTATGACTTTTCTTGCACCTTGAACACATGCCATCAAGCTAACAGTAAATAAGCAAGCCCACTATCTGTCTCAGATTCACATTGTTACCTTAAGGGAGCACAGCTACTCAAACAGCAGAGAGGATTAATATGGAGCAGGGAAGTAATCAGAATGGGTAGCAACTCTATAAAGGTTTAATATCTTTTTGTAAAACTAACATTCAGCCATTAGCGCCAATACAACAATAGCTAACAATATGGTTGCTCTCTGGTTAATGACCACTAATGTTTAATATAATGAAGGGTATGTATCAAAACTGGAGCAGAGAAAATCTGAAGATGTCAATGACAACCAATCAGCTCCTCGCTATCATTTTCACAACTTAACAAACTAAAGATAGAAACTGATTGGTTGCCATGGGCAACTGTTCCAGATTCTGTCTGCTCCAGTTTTGATAAATTCCCCTCAATGTATGTGGATGGCAGTTATACTGTGCACACATCACCAGTGAAGGTGCTGCCTGCCTGCTAGTTACCTCTGACTCATGTTTACCTATACTAATTGCCAAGCTAAAGTGTGGCCTGGTGTGGCCTGGTTTTAGAAATTGTGTGGATTGATTGATTGGGTTGCCGGAGGACAGATTAAATCAGTGCCAACGTTAAATTTAATCCTATTACAAGTAGCAACAGGGACCACCCCTTCTCTCTAGTTTATAACATTTACATACAGAAATGTACGTGTATTAAGCATAAAAGATCACCCTTTCTCAAAATAGAATAGACAGAAAGGCCACACTTCTCAGATGCCACATTATTTTCTAGCAAGGTAAAACATAGGAAAACCTGCATTACAATCAATAAAAACCTCATGGTCTTGGAGCAGTGGTTGTCAAGCAAAGGTATAAGTACTTTAAAGGGTACTTCTGGAAGTTTCATGGGGCACTTTTTGCCCGTTTGTATACTTAAAGCAGAACAAATGTTTTTGTGTTAATGCAAGCACTCTGAAAAAGTTAAAAATAGGGCATGCATGCATGTGTACAATTATGTGTCGTGGCTTTTCCAGAAGGTTTCCCAGCTGCTGTGCAGGCACAGTACAGGCCCAGGGATTTTCTATGATGACTTGGCTTTATATCTTGGTGGCTGAACAGCTCAGAGTTCATAGGCTTTCCACAACTCCCTCTTAGCAGGTCAGTATGCCCCTGTGTAGCCCCTCCCAGTCCTGTACTACCATCTCATTTATTGATTTTTTTTAAAAAACAAGTAACATGTGACCGATGAAAGAGCAAAAAAAGGAAGGATTAGGTAGGGATATAACTGAACTTCCTAAACAGAACTTCCTCTGAGGGGAAATTAACATCACTTCCCTCAGATGCTAGCACCTCTTTATTAGCATCCACTAACGCTGATGAACAAACTAGCCAAGATGGCATAGGCATAATATAAAATATGGATAATGCAAATACAGATTGGCAAGTATTCAACTGCAAGCAATTTCATAGAGTTTTGCAAAAAATAATATACTTTACTAGTTCTGCTTTAATAGTGTCATATTTCAGCAAATAATCTAATGCAAAGCAAAGCAAATTGGTGAAAGTAATATTAATCATTTCCAAGCATAAGAAATTCTCTGAACAAATACAGAAGATATTTAGTTAGTTGTAAAACTTCAAGGGCCAATTCACATTACTGCATTGTGGTAACACAACCTTCACTTTTATATTTCCCCACCCCTCAAAAAAAATGGGCAATATATAGTGTTTATGTGCACACCTACCTGACACATTGGAAAATAGTAAAGGGGGTCTGAATATTTTCTGAATGCACTGTATACAGTGATACCTCGGTTCATGAACTTAATTGGTTCCATGATTCTGGTCGCGAACCGAATCAAATATCCCCATAAAATTCAATGTAAATAAGGTTTATCTGTTCTGACCCCTACGAACGCGGTTGCGAACCGAATCAAATTTTCCCATAGGGTTCAATGTAAATGAGGTTAATCCATTCTGAACCATATGATTTTTTTTTTTTTTATCCACGAAAATATGAAACAAAGTACAGTACAGTATGAAGAGAGTGAACACTAACCTCCATCATGCTATTCTACAATTTCCTTCTTCAATTCAATGGTTATTTTTTTCAAAACCTTCTTCTTACCATTCTTGCTCTGCACTTGGTTACCTTAATTACCGCTCTGCACGTTCTTGTCACCTTCATTACGCTCTGCACGTTCTTGTCACCTTCATTAACGCTCTGCATGTTCTTGTCACCTTCATTAACGCTCTGCACATTCTTGTCACCTTCATTACCACTCTGCACTTTCTTTTTACCACCATGCTTGCTCTGCACTTTCTTTGGAGCCATGCTGGATTGAATAATACTTTACAGTACTGTATGTGCTAAAAAGCACACAAAAAAAGCTTCACAGCAAGTGTGCACAGGTCTGTCTGCGACCGCGATCTCGACTAGAGGAAGCCACGACCACGTGTCAGAGCGAGGAAGATGGCCGCAGTCGTGCTCGTCACCTGATGCAGAGTTTGCGAACGAAGGCAAAATTTTGCCAAACTTCCTGTTTGCGTACAGAAGCGTTCGCGAACCGAGGTACCACTGTATATCTATCTCAATCAATCGAGGAAAAATGGACTGTACATTAGGACTTGAGTTGAGTAATTCTTATGTAGAACTCAAGAATAAGCAGTAGTTTTTTAGTTTTTTAAAAATCAGAGCAGATAAAGATTAATTATTTTACACAAAAAGGTCTGAACAACTGAATGAGTCCCAGTCTAACACAATCACAGTTACACATCATACACACAAAGACGAATGTATCAAGCAGATTGGTAAAAAGTGTAATTTATAGTGAAATGGCCAACAAATGGTCAGGTTAATGAAAACTGAAGCCTATAAAAACTACAGCATTGCCTTGCCAGCACTGGGAGAAGAAAACACTGGTTGATATACAAAAGGCAAATAGGCTGTTCACTTTGTAAGGGAATTTACCCTAACTGAGTGAATGAGATGAGTCTCTGCTGACTTCCATCATCCAATCATGTGCAAGAAAAAAATACTTTATAAAAATTTTAATATTCTTTGCAAAGTGAATTTTTACCACATTCACTAAGCTACAGGGAAAATCTCCTGGCAATGTGAACAGTCTTTGCCTCCATTAAATCAACCCCATAGAATCAGACTGGTTACCATGGGTAATAAGGATCCTTTATCATTCTAAGCTATAGAGTATACACTTATGCATGTTAAAATTATTATATTCAAAAGTGGAATGTTCAAAGTGGTAAAATCTTCAAATGTAATCTGTATATAATTATGTTAATAGAGAAGAATATAGCCCTATTCTATGGACAAAACAATTTGTCTCATATACGGAAGTAGTGAATACATACTTAAAAGGAATGCGGGTAGATGTGCTGGGGCTACACACAGGTGTGGCAGTTTGCAGAATCTGTTCTACGACCGTCAGCCCGCCAGCAGCCCGAAAGGAAATTTGATCAGAAGCATTCTTTAATAAAAAGAAAATACAGAACAAAATATTTAATTCAATCATAACTAGAAATAAAGTAATTGTAGAAACAAAAAAAAGAGAATATATGTAGCAGTTCATAACTAAACAGGTATACCTATTGCTTACTATAGGTACATTAGTATTTTAATACTAATACTTGTTTTATAAAGGGTCAGAGGTCACCTACAGTCTGTTGTTACATTTTCAAGTGTCTTGTTGCACACAATTTCTCACAATGTGTGAGTGTTACAGGCTGTATATGTGGCAGGGCCCTGTAGTCTGCATTTCTCATAACTAGAGGGCACAGTTATTTGACCCTGGTATGTAATCACAGGAGACTGAAGATAGTGAGTGAGGTTACCTACTTGACTGGGCAGCAACTATCAGACTTCAGGTGACCTCTGACACTTCATTTAAAGTCAGGATTACACAAATAAAGAAAAGCTAAATAGCGGGGAAAAAAACTTTTTTAAAAGTAAGTCTGCACCATTATAATATTTAAAAACGAAATACATCAGTATTCCTGTACTCCTGCATAATTACAACCATAACAAGCACTCCTTAAGGAAGGGGTAGCAAACCTCCGGCCCTCCATCTGTGGTGAAACTAAAAATCCCATGATGCATGGGAGTCATGTCTGTGGCTGTGAGAATCTTGCAATGCCTCATGGGATTTGTAGTTCCACCACAGCTACCCCTGCCTTAAGGGATGGGTTAAGGTTAGGGATCTAGGTTTAGTTTAAAAGCCAAATGATAAATTCAGGGGGACTGAAGTGAATATAAATGTGTATACTGCTTACACACAACCCTCACCTTCATTTCAGCCACATTTTCAGAGTACTTTGAAAGGTAGCTGTCAGAAAAGAAACATGGGAGCTGCTATTGCATGTTTCCAGTCCTTATACTTCCTACACTACTCGGTGAGTCACTGACCTGGATTAAGCATGTCCTATTGGTACACCTAACATGTACCTGCTTGTTCTGGGACAGTGACTTGTAGCTAGTGAGGAAAGCAGAAGTTTCATGTAAAGCACACACTATGGGCCATACATATAAATCAGTGAATTTGAATCGTCCCTGCAGGTTAACCTTCCAGGTACATGCGTTTTAAAAGACGGATTGATTGATAGACCCCTTGGTCTTTTAATCACCTATAAAGTGTCACAACCTTTTAGCACACTAGTTTGGCTGGTTAAAAAAAAATAACAAACCTCAAGTGTTTGCAGTGCTATAAAAGAAAAAAAAAATCACACTTGAAATTCAATGTTTCGTTTTTATCATTGGTTTTAAAACACAGGCTTTTATTTCCATTTAGAGCTCTTTACACCAGGCAGCTTTAAAACATTGAAATGGTAGCCATATTTACTAAACCCAGGAGAACACAGCTAAACAGTAAAACTTCAAAGCCATGCTCTAGAAATAGTGGCTAACCTGACAAAGTGTGAAGGCATAAAAGCAAATGGAATTAACATATAAACCAACATAGAGTAATAATAAAGCACACAGACTTTTTGAATTCAACTAAGAAAAACTTAACGTGACACTTAACTCAGGTGTTAAATCTTAAAAAAATGAAATGATCTATAAAAAAAATAGCTGATTGTGGCAATTATGTGGGACATGTCTATAAAGGTTTAAATTATTTCACAGTTTGTGAAATAAAGTTTCCACTTACTACTTTTTATGAAAACTGCTACAGGAATATACCCCCTTCACCCCCTTCACCTTTGGCCACATTTTGAGTAAATATGTAGTAATAAGTAGACGTTTTTCTTAGTGGAGGAAAAAAGACAATAGGTGGGATTTTCTAAACCGTTAATTTTTTTCAATTGACAGAGGATATCTTTAGCCTGTCTGTTTTTTTACCATTGGTTTCAACATCATATACATATCACATAAAACTGAGAAATATTCAGTAGTGAAACAAGGAACACTATTAAAACTGAAAGAAATTATTTTGCTGTCCTTTTAAAATAGTCCTCAAATGAATGCACCGCTGAATATTCTGGAAAATAATATTCATGTTAAGTATACTTTTTGTTTTCTTATAGTTTTCGCAGCATCTGCTCCAAACAGGAAAGGCTACTAAAATGCCTTATTGCTGTATTTTCAATGTTTATTAAATCTAATTGCATGATTTTTTTTTTTTTTTCTATTCACACCCAATTTGTTTTTACAAGTGTAGAGGCATCAACATTAGTATACATGTTTGTTCTATGTTGGGAGTTACTTGAGCCTTCCTAAATGTACAAGGAAATACTTGCTTTTGATCTGTGATGTCCTGGAATCTCTTCTGTGTGTGGCATCCCCGTGGACTTGTCTAAACTGCTAAATAGTACTTCATCTCCAAGCTCGGCAGTATGAGTGACAGCAGACTAATAAGATTAGCGGCTGCCTTCTACTACTGCCAGAAGGGGGATAACAGGGAGATGACCTGAATTATACTATGTGGTGAACCCTCCAGTTCTAAACACAAGTTACAATTACCCTGGTTAATGAAAGGAACAACAGCTGTTAATGTAGGGAAGGCTTCCCCAGGGTGAAAGGTCATGACAGCTTTGTACTTGACTTATTGAGAACAGACGGGAACTAGACAATCTAACCTTTTCGTCACTAAAAGAACAAGACCACACTGCTACTGGAAGGGAAAAGGCTAGTTCTTGCCACTCCAGTATAGGTTGCAATCAGGAGGAGAGCGATTCCTAAATGATACTTTATACAGTGCATTTTTTATGTCAAGATAGTTTTATACATTTTATATATATATTACATTTCTGACATAATAAACCTTTCTGAATACTTGCAAAATATTCACATAATTTATTTTTGTGTTTCCTAAATATTATCTTAGACCTTCTCTGCAGTACGAGTAACCCATGCAACTGCGGCTACTATACTTTATTTAATTAATCAAACTAAAATCCGTGCAACAGTCAAGGTTATACTTATCAAGAATACCACCTAATTACATTCCATGTCTTCACTGTAGCTTTACTAATTTCTTTTTTTTTTTGTGTCAAATTCTCTTTATACAGTTTTAGCATAAGTAAACAAAACATGGCCATACGTGGCATACCCCTGGCCAGAAAGCACAAAATACACACAAAAAAGACAAGCCAAAAATAGAACCTAAAAACCCATAAAAACTATATAGAAACACAGTCAGCCCGCCCAGTCCTTCAAAACACCTCAAATGCAACCACGATGTAGGAAAACAGTGTTGCCCAAAGAGAACACTACCTAAGTAGGAGATGTGCATTCCCCTTCCTCATGTAAAAATAGCTCATGAAATGAAAAGGTGAAATCAGCAGACAAAAAAAAGAGATATTTACAATACCAAATTACAGGAGGGGGGGGGGTTCCCTTCATGTTCTGTCAGATACAATAGGAAGTGAGAGGAAATCTGTTCAAAGAGAGGGAAATCTCTGGTGGTCAGCAGGGTCACCAGAGCTAGTGTTCCAACTGGAAGTTTTTCCATCTATTTTTGCTCTGGTGACACCCCAAAATTGGGGATTTTCTTTCACTTTCAGTGATAACGGTCACCAGGACCAACAGAGAGGGTGAATCTTCCTAATGAGGCCACAATATGTAAAATAAAAAAACAGACATGTGTTCTAATCCGTCTCCACTATATTCAAAATGTAAAAAAAAAAAAAAGTTTGGCTTCAGTTGCACTTTAAAGCTCCTCGCACTAATCCTCCTTCTAGCCCTAACATTAATCTACCCATATGTAACATTAACCTCCTATCTGCATCACACTCACCTTTCCTGTTCCAGGATGCCCTGCTCCAAACCTCATCCCTTCCAGGGAAATTATACCAACTCTGTAGTTCCACCACCAAAATCAAGTTCTTTGTCCTAAAGATGCTAAGCACATGCATTGGGTGGGAGTGGCACACTAAGAAGTTCAGGATTTTTAGAATACTACCACAAAGCAGAAGGGGAGAAGGGCCAGAACTCTAAGATTATCATGCGTTACCAGAGTGTTTATCCTTTGCAGCTAGAAGGTTACTTTGCTATTTGGGCAATATTATAGGTCTGGTTTAACTTCACCTTTCTGTGCATATAAATTCACCCTAGTTACTAACAAATGTACCTGGTTTTAACACTTCTCTTATAGGACAGAATTATTTCTATACAGTACATATCTCCAACTAAAATGATTACTTTTTAATAAGTAAACTCACACATTATACAGCATTTCTAAAATTTTCCACCAGTGGCCAAGGCTACATGAAAGCCTTTGACTCCGGATATTATTATAAAAAAAATCAGAATCACCCTTTAATAATTCCACTCTGAATTGACTGATGTGTGCCTTTTGGGCTCTGGTACTGTCACACATTCAGCTCTGATAACATTATAGGAATTAACTCAATGCTAGGACATTTATAATGTGATATTACCAATAAAATGGTTTAGACGTACTAAACAATTCATACATTCAAATGTTAAAATATCCGTCCAATTATAAGCTATCAAACTCTTAAAGCAATTTGTAGTACTTGTACAGCACTGCAATTTCTCTAGTTAAGGCTCAACTGTTTGCTTACAAAATTCTTGTCATTCTACTTTGATCTCTTACAGAAACAAGATGTTTTCAACCATGGGAAAGCTACAATTACCTTTTTTCAGTAATCCACCAAAAGCGTAAATAAAAGAGTGGTCTTATGAATGGCTTAAACTAGTGTCCAACAACAAACACCCTTCAAACTTGAGGAAGAATATCTGTCACAAAGCAAAATACCACTGTAGGAAGCCTGACATAAAAGCTGCTATTCTTTAATTCCACGGCTGCATGCTAATTCTGAGGCTTGCTATGAATAAAGAGGGGCACAAACCAGATTATTTGGTGCAAATGTGCAATGAATATAGAAATGATCAAAACAAAAATAAAAGGGAGATGGTCCTGACACAGATTAAAGAGATTCAGAATATCTGTTTTTGCTTTCCCTATTCTCGGTTGAAGGCAAGATGTTGGTCTTTATTGCTGGGCAA